GGTAAAATACAGACTTTTCCATTTGCCATTTGCCAGCCTTTGTCATTGCAGCCTTTTTTATATGTGGCAAACGAGCATGCGGCTCACCTGATGGTAAGTGACTACTGCCGCTCATAAACAACAGCAACATCAGGCGAATAACAGATGCGTTGCCGGCCTTTTGAAAAAGAGTAGACTCTTTTCTTGAAGGTCCCTAAGACGTATCGGTCCGGAAAAATTGCTAGTGGTAATCGATTCCACAAGGAAGATTTGCGAGGAAGAAAAGTTCTTCTAAATCGCACAGTGGTGTGGCCAATCATCCAGATGGTATGGATGGTATCGCAAGCTTTGCCACGATGTGTGATGGTGAAATGAAGCAACTGGAATTAGTCCGAACAATTCCTCTGAGCACTGCCCGTGGTAGATGCGATAGAATACGCAAAGAGATGCAACATATCTTCGGAGCGCCAGTAAGTCAAAAAGATCGGTAAGAGCTTGACGATTAGAACCGTTTTGCTCATATGGAAGAAGCTGGCACGGGGGAGCCCTGGCCCAGAGATGGGAAAATTATTCCATATGAGGCCCAACCTATGCCTTGTAAAATTGCAGGCGTGGTAGAACCATGCTGCAGCTATATTAATGGTATACTTGTAGCACGAATCGGTTGGCTTGACTGGGGAAGTATCACGTTCTCACAGAATACCAGCGTAAAATAGCAGATTAACGCCGCTGTGTTTCGAATGGTGAGTGCAGAGAACAAGAAACCCTTTTTACTGGAAACGAGGCATTTCATCTTAGTCCTCACGGGTGACAACGCATCTGCGTTTTGATTCATAACTGAGGATAGATGTAAATGCCTATTGGCCACAGCAACCACTTACCATCAGGTGCACTGTGTGCCCGTTTGTCACCTTTGTCCTATACAAAACGTAAACACGAAATTGCACGTCATTCGACGAGGATTTTGATATTGTTGTAATTATTTTTACTGATAATATTAGACAAGGTATAGAAGAAGAAAAGATAACAGTACAGGTTCTAGTTGTTTTCTCAAATACTTTCGATAGAGATGATCATGAAATCCTCAATCCAAGATCGTGATATGTAGTAATGATTATGATGATGAGGATAGTCTTAGAATCCTATAAAATACTATAAACGAAAGTATAATAATATTTTTCTTTTCTATACAAATTCCTAAGCAATCATATCGTTCATGAGATACTTCGGCATTTAAAGTAAGTTTTTGATACATAAGACTTCTTTTAGTCTTACACAAGATAAAAATGAATTAAAATTATTTTAATGGTTTCCTTCGCTAATGCCGTTTTATTTCATGCCCCAATTTCTTTAGTGTAGTATCATTTACAACATGTAATACGAATACGGAAAAGGACCACACTCTCGCAGAATACCAGCTGAATATATCAGCTTAATGATGCAGTGTTTCGTATGGTTTGTATAGAGAATTAGATACCTGTTTTACTGGAAACGAGGGATATTACGAGTATCTTATAGCTCAGGGGTGCACAATACATGAATATTTTGATTATTACTCGAGGATACATGTAGATGTCTACGGGCCGCAAAATCCACTTATAATCATGTGGACTGTGTGCTCACTTGTCACCCTTATTCTTAAAAAAAACCTGCTGCATCCTGAATCCGGAAATGAAATGAAAACAGTAAAGTTCGCGTATGTCTGTGGCCTAACGATCCGTGAATTCGGTGGGAATGATCAGCTCAGTGAATTCTAATTAGAAAACCTATTGTACGTATCATCTTTGTTTCAAAAATACACAACCGCCGTTCAACCGTGTCAGGAAACAAAATTAATTTCGCTTGTTATCATGCAGAAAGAAATACTCTATTGTGCACCGTGTAACATTTTCGCAACACAAACATTGCTACTGGCTATAAAATACTTATTTTTATTGTCTATGTGCCTTCACAGATATTTTATTATATTACTTTTTAATTAGTCTAAATATGTAATTCATGTTTTTTTTTGACAAGAAAATAAAATTTTATTCCTTTCTTTTAGGTGTGTACGAATGAAAGGTTTTTTTTTTAAATAGAAGAGGGGCAACCGTGCATGCGGCTCGTCTGATAGTAAGTGACTACCGCCACCCATGAACAACCGCAACAACAGGGGAATTGCAGATGCGTTGCCGGCCTTTTAGAAAGGTGAAAGCTCTTTTCTTGAAGGTTCCTAAGTCGTATCAGTCCAGAAAATTCACTGGTGGTAATTGATTACACAAGGAAGTTGTGAGAGGGAGAAAAGTTCTTCTAAATCGCACAGTGGTGGACTGCCAATCATCCAGATGCTATGGATGGTAACGCGAGTTTTACGCGATGTGCGATGGTGAAATGGATCGGCTGCAATTAGCCAAAACATTCACTTAGAGCACTCCCCGTGGTAAATGCAATAAAATACGCAAAGAGATGCAACATCTCTACGCAGGGCCAGTGTATCGAGCCGATCAGAAAGAACTCGGTCGTCGACGATTCGAACCGCTCTGCGCTGGATGCGGTCAAGTAGGTGTTCTCATCTCTTGGCGGGTGGCATAAGGGGCCAAACTTGAGCTTTGTAAAGTTGCAGGCGATGTACCGGCATGTAATACTGTCTCGCTCTGCTGAGCACGCCAAGCTTTTTAGAGGCCAATTTGGCCTTCCCTACCAAGTGACCACGAAACTGCTGAGGTAACAAGGGGAGTTCCTAGCAACTGAGGAGAAACGACAAAGGGTTTTTTTTTTAGCGGTAAACGCGCAAACTTGTGTCTTCTGGGTATTGAACTGGACTAGATTTATTCGCCTCCAATCCGACACTTTGTTAAGCAAAGACTCGACTTCAGACAGAAGTTTGTCCCGGTACTCAGCGACGTTTTCCCGAGAAATATTGGCACGGCCGGTATATAAGGCATCACCAGTGCTGTCGTCCGCATAGCAATGAATGCTACCAGTTGGCAACATATCATTGATATCCAGGAGAAACAGCATTGAGATAGCACGCAGCCTTGTGGAACACCAACGTTGATATGCTAGAAGTCAGAGCATGCACCGTCTACTACGACCTTGATGCTCCGATCAGTAAGGAAACTTTAGATCCGTTTGCATAATTTCTCGGGAAGCTCACAGGAAGAAAGCTTCGAAAGAAGCGCTGTGTGCCAGACCCAATCGAAGGCCTTCGCTATGTCCAAACTAACAGCCAATGCCTCCTCCTTGGACTCTACTGCCTCCGCCCATCTATGAGTGAGATAGACTAGAAGATCACCATCTGATCGAACCCGACGTAAACTGTACTGGCGGTCACTAATCAGCTGGTGATTCTCAAGATACCTCGTGAGCTGGCAGTTTACAATGGATTTCATTATTTTGGAGAACAAGGAGGTGATGGTGATAGGCCTGTAGTTGGACGGGTCTGAGCGGTCACCTTTTTTAGGGATCGGGTGGACCAAAGCTGTCTTCCATGAATTAGGGACTACGCCTTGGGAGTAGGAGTACCGGAAAAGACGCGTTAGGACCGGTGCCAACTCCGGAGCATACGTCCTCAGCACAATTGGGGGGATTCCTTCAGGCCCACTCGACTTCTGGATGTCCAGGAAGAGGAGTGCTTTGCGAACTGAGCGCTGTGAGAACAGCACATCCGGCATGCGGTACTCACACCGCGGGATGGTCGGCGGTGTGTTCCCCCGTCATCAAGAGTCAAGTTGGACGCAAAAACAGAGCTCAACATATCGGCTTTCTCCTTTGCTGCATAGGCCAGTGAGTCGTCCTCTCTGTGCAGAGATGGAAGAGATGCCTGACAGAAGTTCCCTTGCATAGCCTAGGCTAGAGACAAAAGTGCATGGGTTCCCGAAGGAAGGCGAACTAGCTTCTCGCCAATTCTGCCGATGTGCTCAGGCCTTGCCTTGGCAATGGCACTTTTGAAGAACCTGGAGGCGGAATTATAATTTTTTTTAAATAAAACTAATTTTACGGATTTTATCGCGTATATTAACTTATTTTTATATTCCCAACGTTTCGGGTGCTTTCCAGCACCCGTGGTCACGGGGGACTGAGTTGTTTGACGTCCTGCTGTCATAGTTAGCCCAGCTACCTTCAGTTTTTAATATTAATTTTTGGTTCGATTTACGCAAAATGAGCTTACAGTATCTTGAAGTCTAGCAGTGGTATACTTGGGTTTGGATTTGATTTTATTAATTATGGGATCCCAAAATAAGGAAAAGGTGTCGCTAGTGTGCCACAGTAAACATAGGCTTCGTGTATTTTTGTCAATTTAAAATATAAAAAGTGCAATTTCCCACCTAAACTTGATATTATAGTTATAGTAGGAATAAACCAATAAGCACAATCATTATCTATCAAGAGTGTACATAAATAACAAAGAAAACGACGAAATATTAAGTGCAGTGATATTTTCAATTTTAACACCAGGACGAAGATATAACTGTATTTTAATAGACTGTAGTGCCAAAGGGCCTACCCTTTTCTATTACAAAGGTTAGTGGAATAAATAAATACTAAAATTTGTCTGGAAATCCATTAATACTATTATGTAAACAAAAATCAGCTGTTATTTGATTTAAAATGTACAATGTTTTTATCGACACTGACTCATACTATATAAAACAGACAATACAGTGACATCTGTTGTGGAGTAATTAAACAAATCTGATGAATGATTTTACCGACATAGAGACAGTACAGTGACATCTCTTTGTGGAGTAGCTAAACTAATCTGATGATTAATTTTTACCGATATTAATCCACAAAAAAAAATTGACTCACATAATCCAGTGGGTGATAGCAATAACAGTATTATTCAAATCAAAATAAATACATCCAGAGCGAGGCACTAAAAGGTTTTGTATTAGATTTTATTTTCCTTATTATTATAACGGTGACATCTATCAACAACGCACATAAGTTAATAAAAATATAATAATTATCATAATTTTACAATGCTGAGCAACAAAACAACGAAAGTGCAGCAAACCAATTCAAAAGCCGTTCACAAGATGTCGCCAATGGTAACATGTGAAATATGTAAACAGAAAATTGAATCGAAAAAAGCATTACTTTGTTCACGATGCAAAAAATATTTTGAATTTGACTGCACCGGTTACTCTGAAAAACTATACTTGTTAAAAGACATAGACTCGAGAAAAAAATGGATGTGCAAAATATGCAAAGAAAACTCAAAGCCAAGTAACACAGAGCCTTCTTTCGTTACAACGAGGAAAAAACCATTTACGCCAGAAATTGCCAAGAAAAACTCACCCGTCGTTACGCAAACGCCAATACAGTCGACACCAAAAAACACATCATGCCATTCTGAAGACTCACATGTACTTACACTACAAAATATATCTTTGGATAACTCACCTTCAATGTCAGACCAACTACTCTCAAGAAGTATGTATTGCACAGTTACAGACGCAATCGATGTTCAAGAATTAAAAGAAACTATTAACGGATTACAATTAGAATTAGCTAGTACACAGGAGGAATTGGAAAACTATATATTAGAAAATAACGCCCTTCGAGATCAAAACTCTAAACTTCTAAAAGAAAATAACGTCTTAAAAACGCTGTGCCAATCTCCAATACAAGATAATAGTATAATAAAAAGCACCAAGAAAAAATCTAAGCCGTATACGCAATTAACTAAAGTCAGTTTACTCTCACCACCCAGTTCACCTACACAGAGACAGTCTCTTATAACCGATGATCAGTTGAACCTGCAACGGCAAATCACAGAGTTTCAACAAAAATTGAGCGATGTGCAAATAGAAATTGAAACCCTCAATAAACATATTCACAAGTTAAAACTAAAATTGCATGACACGAATTCATCGCGTTCACCACCCTGTAATAAATTGACCCCTACACCTGCTAAGAAAAACGATAACGGGAAAAGAATATTTATCTACGGATCACAACAGTGTGTTGGCCTATCCTCAGCTCTAATCCGATCAAGAAAAAATACTACGTATGAAAAGTATACAATTACATCTCAAACGAAGCCTGATGCCCTGACTACAGATATTTTAAAAGACTGTCATAACGTTGATTTAACGCCCAATGACAAACTAATATTATGTATTGGTGAAAATGACTACGATATAAAAATTTTGACATCCCAACTTCGGAAATTATTAACTACTTTTAAAAATAATGACATACTCTTGTTAAATGTATTTAAAAATAAGTATATTAATATATATGCCTTAAATAATAGTATACTAAAAATATGTAATGAATTTAAAAGATGCCATTTTGTGACATGTACAAATGAAACTATTTTTGACATGTGTAATTCAATTAATTTTCTTATTGACTATATTGACTACGAAAAAAAGTATCTGGATGTACGTGAAATAAAAAAGTTGATAGGACGTGACAATAATCCAATGACACAAAAAACTGGAGTAAACATATATCCTAAAGGAACAATTCCTTATTATTTTAAACGTCAATCCACATTTACTACTACTACTAAAACCGAGGTAAAAAAACCCAAACCCAAGTATCTTATTACTGACTTCTTTCCTATAGATAATAAGAAAAATTTTTTTCGAGTCCCAAACATATAAATCATTTACAATCATGCATCAGAATATAGCGAGCATACTTGCAAAGAAAGGTTTACTGGAAGTCACGCTGGAGGAATTGCGAGATTCAAATACAAATCCAGACGTATTGTGTTTGTCTGAAACATTCCTGACGTCCAATCACAATAAATACGTAAATGTTGCCCAATATGAATTAGCATCAAATTTTTGTAGAGATCAACAAAGAGGCGGAACTTGTATTTTAATCAAACAAGGATTAATTTACGAAGAATTAAACTTCCTACACAATCACACAACACAAAAGACATTTGAAGCTTGTGGTATTAACATCCTGTCACTTAAGTTACTCATAATTTGTGTTTACCGAATCCCCAATTCTGTCCCGAACTTGTTCTTAAATAAATTAGACGTGGTTTTACATGAACTTAATTGCCGATATAGAAAAGACATGAAGATTGTAATTACAGGTGACTTTAATATCAATACGTTAAGACCAGGAAAAATTAGCAGCCATTTAACAGATTTATGCAACAACTATAATTTAAAAATACACATTAAAAGTCCAACTCGTAAAGGAGCTTGCATAGATCATATTTTGAGCAATATTAAAGACGCTACAACTACCTTATTACCACTCCATTTATCTGACCATGACACAGCTCAGCTATTAACTTTTCCCATAAAGGGACCAAAAATTACACCCAAGTCACACTTTGTATATAAAAGAGACTATTGCCTTGAAAATATAAAAAAGTTCAAAAATTGCATTAACAACTTATCATGGTCTGAAGTCTACGACGAGTTTGACGCGAACATAGCTTTTACAAATTTTCACGATATGTTATTTTTATTTTATAATTTATGTTTCCCGAACATAAAAATCAAAATAAGCAATATTAATTTTAAAAAACAAAAATGGATAAGCCGTGGTCTAAAAATAAGTTGCAAAACAAAAAGATATCTTCGCTATAAGTATTACAATAATAAAACATCAGTAAATAAAGAAGCGTACATGGCCTACTCTAAATTATTAAAAAAAAATGCATTAATAACTCTCAAAGAAAAACAAACATTAAATTTATAAATCGTAGTAAAAACAAATGTAAAGCAACATGGTCAGTGATAAAAAATGAAATAACAAATATAAAAATAGATGACGACATTACTGAATTAAATATAAAAAATGAAACAATAACAAACCCTGCTGATATAGCTACTGCCTTTAACGACTACTTTATTAACACGACTGACACTGTATCAATTAACACTCCAAAATTTAAGCAAAAGGGGACAACAATTAATTCAATGTACTTAAAACCAATGACGGTGGAAGAAGTAAAAAAGGAAATTATGAGTCTAAAAAACACAAAAGCCGAAGGATATGACAGTATATCCACTAATATATTAAAAACGTGCGTCACTGAAATAGTCGATATCCTTACATATCTCATAAACTTGTCCTTTTCTGCAGGTATATTTCCAGATAAGTTAAAGCTATCTTTAGTCAAACCACTGTACAAAAAGGGGGATAAAAAACATCCAGCAAACTATCGCCCTATAACATTAATACCGATTCTTTCAAAGTTATTTGAAAAGTGCATGTTAAAAAGGCTTATGAGTTTATGCTCTAAGTATAATATTATAAAAAAGGAACAATTTGGCTTCCAGAAAGAAAAATCAACAACTTTAGCAGTATTTAACCTAATAAATAAAATATTGACCAGCTTAAATAACAATTATCTAACTACTGTACTCTTTATTGACTTATCAAAGGCATTTGACTTCGTTGCACATAAAACTCTTGTAAGCAAACTGGAATCTCTCGGAATCAGAGGACCCCCATTATTATGGATATCGTCTTATCTAAGTGGGCGTAAACAAAAAGTTGTCCTCAAAAAAATATTTAATAATGAAATTAGTTCTATTTCGTCTGAATATAGAGAATGCAGCACTGGTGTCCCACAAGGAAGCGTACTTGGACCCATTCTATTCATACTTTACATTAATGACATAACAGAAGTAACAAAACATCAATGTACTTTATATGCTGACGATATATCCATAATTATTACATCTAACAAATCTAAAAACAATGTCTCTTTGCATAATCATATGAATCATAATGAATGTGACATTAATAATACTATTGACATAATAATCAAATGGCTTAAAGCAAATAATTTAAATATTAATCTTGATAAATCATACTATATACAATTCAATAAATCAAAACATAAGCAGCACAATTTTAATCTAAATGTGACAAAGATAAAAAAGTACAACAATTGAAATTCTTAGGTATAACTATTGACGAGAACTTGAACTGGAAAATACATATAGACCATTTGTGTAACAGAATTAATCAGTTCGTATATGCTCTTAAACGTGTTAGGACTGTAACCGACAAAAAGACCGCTATTATGTCCTATCGCGCCTACATAGAATCGATATTGCGCTACGGCATTTTACTATGGGGCAACAGTACGGACAAAAACAGAGCATTTATAGCTCAAAAAAAATGCATTAGAGCCATATGTGGAGTTTTACCTGACGTTTCCTGTAAACCACTGTATAAAAGTCTAGAATTATTGCCACTACCATCACTTTATATTTATGAAGTTGCGGTTTTTGTACACAAAAACACAGAATTATTTAACAAAGTTAATAATTTTTAGACATTCCAAGGTCGGATAAGTATGCAAAAAGTTGCCTCTGTATGGGTGTCAAAATATATAACAAGATTCCTAGAGATATTAAAATGCTCAATATCAATATGTTTAAACATAGGTTGTACAAATGGCTAAGTCAGAATAACTTTTATACCATAGATTCATTTCTCTGTACCAAAAACTTAACATAGATTAATATAGTTATAAATTCTTATTTTATTCAATTTTTATTCGTGTGACAGTGACATATTTGGTGATAATTATTATATTAATAGTATGAATTGACATGTAATCTCATTATAATATTTTTAAACTCAATGTGTTATTTGCATGCTATTTTCATTATGGCGAAACATATGCGCTCTGTCAAACTTGTATCAGCTTATAATACTATGTTTCTAAGCAAATAAAGAAATTATTATTATTATTATTATTATTATAAGCAGATGGCAGCACCCATCCATCTTCTCTATTGAAATTAGGATGTTTTTTAATTTCAATAGCCTCGGGAATCATCCTTGGGAATCGGTGTTCTTTTGCGAGGATTTGTGGTCTATCAAATCTAATGTAATGGCGGGGACGATCTTGAACATGTTCACAAACTGCAGACTTCCCGATACGTCGGTGCTTCACGTCAGCTATATGTTCTTTAACGCGGGTTTTAATAGATCTTTTTGTTTGTCCTATGTACGAGAGACCACATTCACAATCCAGCTTGTACACTCCTGCATCTTGTAGAGGGATATGACACTTGACGGATGGTAAAAATTGAACAATCTTCTTCAGCGGCTTGAGTACGTTTTAATGGAAGCTCGCTTCAAGATGTAGCCAACCTTGTCTGTGACTCCTCTGACATAGGGTAGTACAGCAGGCACACGCTCGACTGTGGCTGGCTTCGTCAGGTATACCTAAAAACTTGAAAACAATATTGTACAACCAGAGTGTGTTGCCAGTGATGACTTATGGATCTGAGACGTGGTCCTTCACTGTTGGCCATTTGAGAATGCTCAAGGTCACTCAGCTAGCTTGGTCGTGGTTTCTCTGCGTGATAAACTTAGAAATGAAGACATCCGCAGTAGAACTTTAGTAACTGACATAGCACAAAGAACCGACAACCATTGAAGAAGAAAGATTATTGAGTGGGAGACTCGTACCAATAAGCGAAGTGTAAGGCGGCCCCCAACTAAATAAAGTGACAAACTGGTAAGATATTCAGGAAGTTGATGAAAGTAGATGACTCAAGACCGTGCTTTTTGGCATTCCTTGTGGGATAGAATAGGATATATATCCTAATATAGCAGCAGCATGGCTCTCTCATTCAACGGGAAACTCGGGTCTTCAACGCTCATCCTATAGCAGAGATAAACTAAAAAATGACCTTCTATTCACTGATCCAATACCTCACCACGTTGGGTTCGGGTACAACGGGTTATGCGTGTACCCCTGAGTAGGTGTTCAAATTAGACCCCGTCTTTTTCTCTCAAAAGAAAGTTTAGACGACTAAAATTACGGGTCCCTAAGGAATGGTTCCGTTCTTGACGTCAGTCATTTGTGGACTGTATACTGGTACTTGGTTCGACGCTGGGTGTCTTAAATAAAACATTTTTTTTTATAGGATAAGGGTGACAAACGAGCACACAGTCCACCTGATGGTAAGTGGTTGCTGCGGCCCATAGACAACTACGTCTATCCTCTATTACAAATCAAAATGCAGATGCGTTGTCACCCGTGAGGACTAAGATGGAATGCCTCATTTCCAGTAAAAAGGGCCTCCGGCCACCTGCACTCACCAAGCGTAACGCAGAGGTAAAACTCTACTTCACGCTGGTATTCTGTGAGGTCGTGGTACCAGCCCGGTTCGAGCCGGCCCATCCGTGCGACAGCAAAAGCTGCTGCGTGGCTCTACCATCTGTTAAACATCGATTATTCTTCATATAAAAGCCGCCTTTGGAAATGCAATATTGAAAATTTCACTACTTTATAACCGCCCTATTACAGCCTGTCTGTATGACAGACTGTGACAGCCAAACTTGAAAGAGAACCGCGTGCCGTGCGCCATATCGACATAATTTAACACTGATTTTCACTATCACATTTCCATATTTTTTACCCATAACTTTATTATGAAAAAGATTATTATTACACAATTCCATTTCACAAAAGGTACAAAAAAGACACATTAAAACAATAACAAAAACATTAATATCACAGAAAAACAAAATATATAAAAATATTTACCAAAATACAAGAATTTTACAAGCTATTTCTATAGTCATAAATCTTAAATATCTAAATAATAACTCAATAATAAACATGAATATCTTTAACAATACAAGCATTAAATTCACAAAT